GGGAGCAGGCCTAAGCCAGCAGGTCATTATCTCCTGAGGGGTCCCAGACTGCGAGAAGGCACAGGATGGGCTGAGGGACCCCCCCTCCCCCCCGAGTGCACAAATTTTTGTGCACCGGGCCTCTAGTAGTTTAATAATATCCTAATGAACTGTGGAACGCTGATTACTGTTTGGGATACAAGTGGAATATCATCTGGTGCATTATCATGCTTTGTAAGTAGTAATAATGTTGAGTGGGCTACCATCAACAGCATGTGCCCTAGATATCTCTGAGTATGCTGAGGTAAGAAAGAAAATTATTTGGTGTAAGCCAAATTTTAAGAACACTAACCAGGCCTTCAGCGCCGGGGAGACTGAAGATGGCGGCATAGGTAAACACCGGAGACTGCTGCCGCAAACAACCACTTCAAAAATACAACTAAAAGACGGAACGGACATCACCCAGAACCACAGGAAGGCTGGCTGAGGAGAGACTCTTCAACTAGAAGGAAAAATAACAGCACACCGAGGCTCAGAGGAGGCGCAGTGTGGAAAAAACTCAGGTGCGGAGGTGAGGGCGCGGTCGTTTTCAATCAGGAGGGAGTCTCAGACTCTGAGCTCCAGAGCCGGGCGAATCGCTGGGGACTAGGACTCAAACAGGAGGAGCAGCATTGTCTGGCATCAGTTGGAAGGCAGCTTTCGCTCCGAGGTTTGCAGCGGTTCCTGGGGTTCTGAGAAGCAGAGCCTCTGGGAACAGGACTGAGGGCACCATAACGGCTCCCTCCGCCCGCCCTGCCCTGTTGAGCCCTGATTCACACAGCCAGTCGGCCTGGTGGTCAAATCCCTCTAGTATTAACTACAACAATCAAGGCTCAACTAGAACAAGACTGCGCACATGCGCACAAAGGGGGTGCACCAAGAAAGCATAAAAAATGCGGAGACAAAAAAACATGACAGAAATGGAGGATATAGAGCTATAGAGCTAAATTTTGAGGGCTTGCAATAAACTTTTGGAGAGCTTCACGAAAACTAATGAGACCCTCGATGCTATGATAAAGAAACAACTAGAAATTAAGCATACACGGACTGAAATAAAGAATATTATACAGACACCCAATAGCAGACCAGAGGAGCGCAAGAATCAAGTCAAAGATTTGAAATGCGAAGAAGCAAAAAACACCCAACCGGAAAAGCAAAATGAAAAAAGAATCCGAAAATACGAAGATAGTGTAAGGAGCCTCTGGGACAGCTTCAAGCGTACAAACATCAGAATAATTGGGGTGCCAGAAGATGAGAGACAGCAAGATATTGAAAACCTATTTGAAGAAATAATGGCAGAAAACTTCCCCCACCTGGTGAAAGAAATGGACTTACAGGTCCAAGAAGCGCAGAGAACCCCAAACAAAAGGAATCCAAAGAGGACCACACCAAGACACATCATAATTAAAATGCCAAGAGCAAAAGACAAAGAGAGAATCTTAAAAGCAGCAAGAGAAAGAGACTCAATTACCTACAAGGGAATACCCATACGACTGTCAGCTGATTTCTCAACAGAAACTTTGCAGGCCAGAAGGGAATGGCAAGAAATATTCAAAGTGCTGAATACCAAGAACCTACAACCAAGAATACTTTATCCAGCAAAGCTATCATTCAGAATTGAAGGTCAGATAAAGAGCTTCACAGATAAGGAAAAGCTAAAGGAGTTCATCACCACTAAACCAGTATTATACGAAATGCTGAAAGGTATCCTTTAAGAAGAGGAAGAAGAAAAAGGTAAAGATACAAATTGTGAACAACAAACATGCATCTATCAACAAGTGAATCTAAGAACCAAGTGAATAAATAATCTGATGTACAGAATGAACTGGTGATTATAATGAATCAGGGACATAGAAAGGGAATGGACTGACTATTCTTGGCGGGGAAAGGGGAATGGGAGATGCGGGAAGAAACTGGACAAAAATCGTGCACCTAGGGATGAGGACAGGGGGTGGGGAGGGAGGGCGGAGGGTGGGGCGGGAACTGGGAGGAGGGGAGTTATGGGGGGGAAAAAAAGAGGAACAAATGTAACCTGAACAATAAAGATTTAATTAAAAAAAAAAAACTATTAAAAAAAAAAAAAGAACACTAACCAGGGCTTCATCCAGCCTTTACAATATAAGAATTTAGAAATTAATTTGAGAAGGAACGTATCTCCTTCTAAATGAGCTTGCCCAAGAAAAATATGCCATGCTTTTATGAAACTAATCATTGAAGCTGGCTTATGTTAATACAAGCTTGGACCATAATGCAAGGTATAGATAATTAAAGGAATATAATTACTGATTCTGCAGCTGAGCTGTTGGAAGGTTCAATGCCTAAATGTATAAGTTGGTGGGTTTTATTCCTCCTATTATTACTGTGGACAAGGATCAAAAGAAACAGTTTTACCTGCC